AACAAAAAATAGCTTTCTATACACCAACAAAACAAACTGAGAAGGAATACATGGAAACAACCCATTCACAAAGCTCAATAAAAAGTAAATACCTAGGAGTAAATTTAACAAAGGTTGTGAATGACCTCTGCAAAGAGAATTACAAACTCCTGAAGAAAGAGATCGAGGAAGACTACAGAAGATGGAAAGACCTCCTGTGCTCATGTATCGGTAGAATCAACATAGTAAAAATGACTATACTACCAAAAGCAATCTACATGTTTAATGCAATTCCATCAAATCCCAATGACTTTCATCACAGAGATTGAAAAATCTACTCTAAAGTTCATTTGGAAACACAAGAGACCTGAATAGCCAAGGCAATACCAGCAAAAGAGCAATGCTGGAGGTATCACAATACCTGACTTCAAACTATATTACAAAGCAGTAGCAATAAAGACAGCATGGTACTGGCACAAAAACAGACATGAAGACCAGTGGAACAGAATAGAGGACCCAGATATGAATCCACCCAACTATATCCACCTCATTTTTGACAAAGATGCCAAAAATATACGATGGAGAAAAGACAGCCTCTTCAACAAATGTTGCTGGGAAAAGTGGTTACCTGTCTGCAAGAAACTGAAAACCCATGCATATCACCCTGTACTAGTATCAACTCAAAATGGATCAAGGACCTAAATATCAGACCTGAAGCTCTGAAGTTACTAAAGGAAGGAGCAGGAAACACTCTGGAACAAATAGGTATAGGCAAAGACTTCCTCAATAGAACCCCAGCAGCCCAGCAACTAAGAGAAAGGATGAATAAATGGGATTTCATAAAATTAAAAAGCTTCTGCACAACAAAAGAAAGGGTCTCTAAATTGAAAAGACCACCACAGAGTGGGAGAAAATATTTACCAGCTCTACATCAGACAAGGGACTGATAACCAGAATATACAAGGAACTTAAGAAACTAAGCTCTCCTAAAATCAATGAACAAATTAAGAAATGGGCAACTGAAGTAAATAGAACTTTTTCAAAACAAGAAATTCATATGGCCAAAAAACACATGAAAAAATGCTCACCATCTCTGGCCATAAAGAAAATGCAAATCAAAACCACACTAAGATTTTACCTCACCCTTGTTAGAATAGCCATCATCAAAAACACCACTAACAACTGTTGTTGGCAAGGATGTGGGAAAAAAGGAACCCTAATCCATTGCTGGTGAGAATGCAAGCTGGTGCAACCACTCTGGAAAAAAATTTGGAGATTTCTTAAAAATCTAAACATAGATCTGCCATATGATCTAACAATCCCGCTCCTGGGGATATACCCAAAGGAATGCAACACAGGTTACTCCAGAGGCACCTGCACACCCATGTTTATTGCAGTGCTATTCACAATAGCCAAGTTATGGAAACAACCAAGATGCCCCACTATTGATGAATGGATCAAGAAAATGTGGTACTTGTACACAATGGAATTTTACTCAGCCATGAAGAAAAATGAAATCTTATCATTTGCAGGTAAATGGAGGAACTGGAGAACATCATTCTGAGCAAGGTCAGCTAGGCTCAGAAGACCAAAAATCGTATGTTCTTCTTCACATGCAGACTTTAGATCTAGGGCCAATACAGCAATGTGGTTGGACTGGGACGACATGACAAGGGGAAAGCACATATGGGAGATACAGGAATAGGTAGAAAAACCTAAATATGAAAGCGTTTTATGTCCCCACTCCAAAGGAACTAATACAAAAACCTTAAAATGGCAGAGGTTATCATGAGCCAGGGGATCAGGAACCAATGCAAAGATCAGTTAGAGTTGAATCAACATGGGTACGTAACACATGGACACATGAAAGCAATAGTAGGAATCTCTCTGTATAGCTATCCTTAACTCAAATAGCAAAAATGCTTTGTCTTTGTTATTATGCTTATGTCATCTCTTCAACAAAATTAGTGATAAGGGCAGAACAGGACCTGCTTGGAACTGAGGGGGAAAAGGTGGGGGAGGGGACAGGGTGGAGAATTGACCCAAACAATGTATACACATGTGAATAAATGAAAAAAAAATTTTTAAAAATTAAAAAAGAGGGTGGAACAGGTTCTGCCTGGGGGGGTGGTGAGGGAAGGGCAGGATGTGGAGGTAGGTGTTCTAAACAATGTGTACACATGTAAGTAAATATAAAAATGATAAAATAAAAGAAAGAAAAAGTTGATATTTTCCATTTAATAATGAATATCAGTACATTAAAATTTAATACCACTCATTGATAAAGAAATTATTCCAAGTTTTGAAACTTTCAGTTTTACCAAGCAATTAATAATGACTCTCCAATGAATACCTTTATTCCATATCACATCATGTTTATTCTTTCTCAATAACTTTAACTGCAAAGTAAGCAGAAAACAATAGTATATCAAAATTTCCCAGCATGCTATTGTGTTCAGAACAGATTGTTTCAAGAAAATTTTTAATTATGATGATTTTCTCTAGATAGATTTGTTACTGTTATTGTGTGGCTGTGTGTGTGTGTGTGTGTGAGACCTGTTTTTCCATAATAAAGTGTTAGTGTTTTGCTGGTATTCTTGGAAAACTGCAAGTCTAGTTTCCTGTCAATAGAGCCAACCTTTGTTCCCATCTCTGAAGAGCCAGCATCTACTTCCTGAATGGGGGCTTCCATTTCTTATATTTAAGAAAAGTTTGATTTAGTACCATCTATGTTCTAAGCACTGTCTTATGCTATTGTTATGAAAATGAACTGTGTGTATTGGATCCCAAAGGGTTGTCTTTCTCTTTGTAAAAAGAGAAAAGCAAATCAATAAGCAAAACTAGATAATGATATTAAAATATGTCACAATGGAATCAAATCAATAGAATAGAGAAAAAGTCTGTCTATTCTTTGAAAAGTCAGAAAAAAGATTCAATAAAGAAACAATATTGAGGTAGATCCCAAAGAATTTTTGCCAAGTAATTGAAAAATAATGGAGAAAGTGTAGACCAAGTTAGCATAAGAAAAATAGGAAATGTTTAGAAGTATGAATATGCATGGTAACAAAAATAGCATGCAGATGCATGAAGTGATTGGAAACAAAAAGGATGATATCTACTACCTACTGAATTGTGAAGGATTGGAATGTGTTTCAGAATGTGAGTGCTATCCACCAGTGATAGGGAATCACTGAAATTCTCTAAAGGGAGAAATACATGCTCATTTTGTATTTAGAAAGGTTTTTTTTCTTTTATTTTTGACAGAGGAATGAATGATGAGCCTTAGGAAATTTGAGGCATAGATGGATGCTGTTATAATAGTCCAGGAGTAGATCAGTAGTCTGTCTTTTTTATTGAAACATAATATTTGTACAACTTTATGGGACATATTATAGAAATTTGATGTATAGTGCAATATGTAACAATTAAATTAAAAGTTTTGCTTGAACTAGAAATGTAGCAATATAGACAAAAACTTTAAAAACAGTAGTTTTAGGACAATATCCTTTATTAAAAGTCAAAATTTGCCACCCTATAATTCTCTATTAGTTTTGACCTCTGCCCTGAGACTCCTACATATATAAGTTTGATATATAGATTTATAGTTATACATGAGTATGTGTATATATGCGAAATAATACTATTCAGATGTCATCTTATGTTCTTCTAGTCACTTCATGAACCTTGCATATAAGATCTGGAAACTAATGTTATTTATGTTATTGTACATAATCATACTACTAAATACTTGCTACTTGTCTTATGCTAGACTGGGTCCAGACTTTCTCCTTTATTTTTGAATTACTGCAGAAAGTATTTGGATTCAACTCAAATATATATATAATATATATTATATATATATGAACTAGAGTACAGTATGTTAAGTAAAATAAGTTAGGTATAGAAAGGACTTTTTCTCATTTATATGTAGAAGTTAAAACTTAATCTCATAGAATTAGAGAGTTGAGGTTGAAAACTTTTGGGAGAGGGGGAGTGAAGGAAAGATAGAAGATTGTTAATGGATTCAGTAGTAGAGAGATAGGAGGAATAACTTCTAATGTCCCACAACACAGTATCTATGGCTGACAATATTTAATTGCTTATTTCAAAAAAAAGCTAATAGATAGGAACTCTTAGTGTTCTCAGTACAAAGAAATGATAAATGTTTGAGGTGATTGACATACCACACTGATCTGATCACTACAAATTGTATACATATACAGACAATTATGTGTCAATTAAGCTAAAACTATTCTAAATATATGTACATAAATATACATAATATACATGTATGTTTTGTAGATTTGCATTTGTAATCTGTGGTATTTATTTAACAAATTTTAGAATTTGCTGTTAAATCATTTTCCAAGCCTTATGTATTCATTTATTTTTATTACTTATCATATAACATGTTTCCATCTTATTTCCTTGGTCACTCCATTCCAGATATGCTATAATTTCTCAAGGTTCGTCTTAAGAAAACATTCAAATTTTTATTATTTTATTGGTTCATACTGTATTTCTTGTTATAGTTTATGTTGTATATTTTGATTTTCTCTAGTCGAGAAGTAATACCTCTTTTGCCTATTTTAAATGTACTCACAATACTAACTTTTCTTCTTCTTCAGATTGTTAACGTGGAAAAAGAAATTCTGAAAGGAGTAACTACAGCTAGTGGACTAGTTCATGTATACGAAAGTTAACATACATCGCTATATTGATAAAATAGAATTAAAGAACCATAATTATATAATTAATTAGATTAATTATTTTAGGCAGTATGATTAAAATCAGCATGCATCTCTAATTCTAAATAAATTTGGCTTTTATGATTAAGCCCTTTATCTTTCAACAACACAATGTAAGAAATGGATTGAAACCAAACATTCCAATGCTTTCCACTTAAACATTTCTAAGTAT